TTTGGGGGGAACTCCGCCCCTTTGTTGCATATGAGTCTAGACCCAGTGGGGCTCTGGTGTGCCTTGTCACACGAATAGCCTGCCTGGTATTTCCCCATACATGTGAATTCTCGCTCACCTCTCGGACAAAGGACGATCGGACCGGCTCTGGCGTACCTTCTGTCAAGATTAGCCTACAGTTAATATGGAAGACGGCGTTTACCGGACATACCAACGATAATTCATCACTGTTCCACTGCTTCTACTTCTTTGTTATGTCAACATAGCTTTCTTTCCCGTTGTTTCGCCACGGACTTTAGCTTAGCTGAAGTTATAAAAATCCATGGATTTAATTGCACCATTTCCCTGCTAATTTGGAATGTTGCTTACTCCATCTCCATCATATTCTTTGTGTCATCCTTATTCTATCGCTCATGTTAGTCGCGCTTGGACACAGTTTCACTCTAGAATGATTAACTATGGACTTGGTACAGTGTAGTATCTTTATTGCACCTGCCTAGAACGGATGAGCCACATGTAACCTACCTTTATTGGGCTTACTTAACTCGGTTGTATTTCGCGATGACTTCACGTGTTGCCCACTACACTTTTTGTACTTAACATGACCTATGCTATTCTTGCTACCTTCACAAGTGGAGTTTATTACCGTGACCTACCGAGATGGTGAGATACGGCATCTTCCTCTTCGTACTATTATTCGGCCGCGATTCACATCACTATGTAAGCTCCATGATATTACTCACCAGACTCACCATCCTGCTGCTTGAAATCGACTTGTAGATTACATGACCGTAGGTTTACCAGCTGCCCAATGCTAACTAGCACCACGCTTATGGAGCCGGTGCATCGCATGAAAATGGTTCAGTCCATTCATGAGCTCATTCGTATTTGACGTGCGCGCAGAGCTTCCGAGCGAATTGTGTTGTTCATCAATGCTATGGTGGCAAATTACTGAGTATATTTCCAGTTCAATGGATACGCTTGAATCAAAAGGTTACCAGCGCTTGGCCGCTTACAATACGCATACAGTGTAAAGTTTGACATTTGGAACACAATGCTCAACGATTGTCTCTCGTGTGACTACGTTGGACTATGCATCCGAAGAGAAATTGCCCTGTAAATTTTGTGGCAAGTGAACCATCCCGACAACTAACCGACTAGCGATTATCATGATGTTGACAGTTAGTGTTCCGCTCCATAGGTTAGTGATGAGAGTGAGCATAGTTATATTTCCCGTTGTTCATTAGCCATACTGAATTCTCCGGAGCCTATGAAAACGCAAGTACTACGGGGATTGAAGGCGGAAGCACAGAGACGCCTACCGGATGTTGTATCGGACATGATCAATCTTCTGGATAGACTATAAAAAATGCAAAGCCCAACTTGAATGGTACCTGTGTCTTAGTAATTTACATCGGAAAGGACGGCGCATAGCGACAATTATTTATTTTAGGAGCACCGAATGGATGCACTCGAGAAGTACAATGCTGATCGTTACCAGATAGCTTATGGCCACAGCGGAGTACACATCGGTATGTACAAACCCTTGAGTATTTTGATGATAGCCATGCTACGTCTTGGACATTTGCAAAACAATGCGAACACTGTTTGGAAAGCCGCATGTTTGACAGTGGTCAGCGGGACTTAGTTGACGTAGTACTGTGGTAGTTGTTGTGCCAGCGAGGCCGTAAGTGGTGAATATGTGATACTGCCATGTGTCAATGGTTAAGGTTGCGCAACAATCGTTCTTTGAGAATCTGCACGTACCTCAGTCAACAGATGACGGGACTGGTCGGCGACACGTAGAGCCTGAATTGAACATCCCATCGCAATTGCACGCTGTGCGATCTCCACCATTAGTAACACAAACCGGACAGGACGTATAGACGGCAACACGTAAGTGCGCACTGTTTTATTGTACTGCTTGTTTATTAATCATTCTACCCGGTAACCGTGCTGATAGCAGTTGCGTCACTATTCCTATATCGGTTTCGTTCACCTATTGATGCACAATATTTATGGCTGTTATTTATGCTCACGTTTAAATGTTACAGAAAACACCAATTCCTATTGAATACTTGTTCTCATACTTGCGAAAATTGCTGTCAGCCTTACCTTCAAGCGAAACCCATACACGTTTGAGGTTTGGTATGCCTCTATCCAGTTTGTACCTACTCTTCTCTTACCTACTGCCTCCTCCATACTGGCTCCAGGAGACAGTTGGTCGTTACGGGGGGGGGGGGGAGGACTACACGGTCCTTGTGGCGGTGCTGTGCTCGAAGAGTGGTTTCATGCACTCAGTGTGGAGCGGACTACGGTCCAGCCACCGCCTTGTGTACGTCTGGTGTGCATGATTTCCCAATTAGACCAAGATGGTTGCGTTTTGTTTGTTGAAGGAGTATTGGTCGACTCCGTTGATGCAATATGGCTCCGATCCACATGCCTCCCGGTCTTATTCCTCCGGGTTTTACACTGGATATGGAGTGTCTTGGTGGAACTGTGGGTGGTGCAGCGCAAGACATCCCTGGGCCCTCTGTAGGCGCAGGCGTACTGTGGTTGGCCACAGTGACAGGAAATCGGAAACCGTATGCCGCCGACCATCCAATTTGTGCGGTTCCTACTTTTGTTTGGACAAACGCATGTGCATATGTTGTATTCGCACTACCATTGAAATCGAATGTCGCCAATCCATGTATATATGTATACGGAATGAATTCGACGAAGATACTCATACCGCTTTTGTGCGGCTAACTTAGTGCAATAAAACGGCATTCGAACAAATCGAAAATAACATTACCAGGACATGAAGATGACTTTATGACAAACTAATGTTGATTTCATATGTTGCGAATCCAAGGAACAGTTGATCGGTGCGAATTCCGTGGACTGCTCAAAAGGGCGGTTTCTCAGGTGCCGGAGAAGGCACTATTGCAAGCGGAATAGAAGCACAGTGCGTATGCTCCATTCGATTTACTACTCCAGGCTAATAAGACGGCGTATATGGTACGTTTGCATGCGTGATGAGTATTCTTGCATTTCAGAAGTAGATGTTGATTGAGCTTCCCGGTATCGCTGCGCCAGATGTGAATGTTCCTACCTGCCTAATACCTTCCACCTCCATTGCTGGCTCCTGGAGACATTTGCTCGTTGCTGGAGGGGACAGAGTGCACCGTCCTCGTGACAGTGCTACTCTCAAAGAGTGGTTCCATCCTGTGTGGAACGGGCTACGGTCCAGTCACTGCCATGTGTATGTCTGGCGTGCGTGATTTCCCATTTAGGCCGGAATGCTTCTGTTCTGTTTGTTAAAGGAGTGTTGGCCGGCTTCATTGATGAAACGTGACTTTCATCCACATGCCCTTCTGTCTGATTCCGTCGGGTTTACACTGGGCTTGGAGTGTGTGGGCGGTGCAGCACAAGCCATCTATGATCCATCTGTAGGCGTGGGCGTCCTGTGGCCGCCCCCGTGGAGGCCACACTGACAGGCATATCTGGATACGGATGCCGCCAATCCGTGTATGTATGTATGTAGAAATATCTGAGGCGGCGCCTGAGGCCGATAAGTAGCCTACCAGTGATATAGGATGAGAAGGGACAGCCCCTAACCTCTAGCACTGAGCTTCTTTGCTTCTATGTTTGCAAATGTCCAGGTGTCTGTACCGAGTTCAACATTCACCACCATTACCGAACTCAACAGTCTGGATTGTGATGTGGAAGGGGTGCGTCAGCTACTCGACAATCTTGGCGGCAGCAAACCTGCTGGGCGTGACTGGCTTCATCCCCTGATTCTCGATTTCTTATCTTCCATCATCTCGTCTGCCGTAACTGACCTATACAGCAGGTCCATGTCCGAAGGTATATTGCCGACTGATTGGAAATGCTCGTTGGTAAGGCTGATTCCGAACAGTGGTGACTGCAGCAAAGTGGGCAACTACAAGCCAATTTGTTTGAGACCTATTCTGGCCCATGTTGCAGAGAACGTTGTGAAGACGCTGTTCTGGTTAAGAGATCTGAGGCCCGGACATCACGGTTTCACGCCAGGTCATTCATGCGTCCCCAGTCTGCTCTAGACGAGACATGAATGGATGCAGGCAGTGAACCAGGGGAAGTCTGTCGACGTGATCTACATCGATTTTAGCAAAGCGTTCGACAAAGTGAACCATGATGGCCTCCTATATAGCCAGTTTAGTCTATGTACTGGTTTGATGATATACGTTGTAAAGGCTTTGTCGCTGTATTGAAAATGCCGGATATGTTATCAAGGCCGTTATCGGCCTGGTACCCACACAATAGTGTCTTTGGAGTAACGCGACCTCTTCTTTGAACATTAGTCTAAATTTAGTAGAGCGACAGCTCAACAAAGGAGCATAAATTCAACACTTTTATGCTCTGCTTCTCCATCACATTGGTGGATACCAAGACTTTACTGCCAAATTATGGACACCCAAAACAGTGGAACGTTGTGGGTATGCTTCGTCTAATTGAAGTGACATTTTGAGAGAGTGTTTCCAACAGTTACAGGTGCAATATATGCAGATTGTCCAGGAGATCGAGCTGATGGAATGCAAGGGCAGAAGGATGTATTCGCAACGGAGAACCGGAATGGTCGGAGTGACGAGCAAGACAGCTAATGGGTCGCGATGCGAGCGGGACCTGTTGTTGGTCGCACCAGCAATGAGCGCCACTCTATGCAGCTGTACCGATTGTACTACTTGTTATCGTTCCATGGGTCACTCATTCTTCTTTATGCATTTTGCGTCATGAGTTCACGGCATCTATCCTATGTTGCTAGCAGATAACCTGCACACTGTTATCTCGCATTACGAAATAAGTAAGGGTTACCATTACTATTTCACGTTAGGAATCCTCTTGCTTATTTGTCATCATTATGACCGTCGCGTACCACAACATGTGTACGACGTGACAATAGCTTATTTGCTGTTCTGTACCTTTCTATCTGTGTGACCCGTCTGTAATTGCTCACTTTCTCCCTTTCAATCCAGAACAACGCGACCATACCTGCGATCGCTGTGGTAAATCGTTTCCCAGGAATTTCGTTTTACAGAAACACATCAGTTCTATACATTTGAGTGAGCGTTTATTTGAAGACATCATTTAAGTTTGGTTTGCTTTTTTATCCGCTTTTGTCCTCGTTTGAAGTTATCTGGTGGCGGCAGCCAGTGCAAAACCACTTGTGTTTTCCTATTCTCTTCTCCCAGTGATCTGAACGTTAGGTTAAATAAAATAAAATAAAAAAATAAATTTGTATATTTACCGACGGACGGTACACGGCCCCATAAGTGGGAGCGATCATGTGTATAGTGAACACGTTTCATAACATTAAATAAAAGTTTACTAATAGCATTTCGGATCATGATTGCTTTTCCTTGAGTCCTAGACCCGCGCAACTCATATGTAAAATTTACGGATGTTTGTATCGTCAGGAGTAGATAATAAACGAAGGGACTATTAGGCTGCAAAGACACAGGATTTCGTATGGTATGTAATGACATGTAGTGGGTAAGCTAGCTGTAAGCTATTATCAAATGTTTTTTATACCAACTTCTGTCAGTGTTTCTAGTGTTTGCTGTGAGTCAAATATCTTCAGAGCATTTGGTATAGTGAGGAAGGTCTGAATGAGATTTCGAAAGGTGACATGGCTTGTACACATGCGTATCTGTAGGGGTAGTTTGTTCCACAAATAAGTGTATCTCACTAAGAAGAAATTCGATCGAATTTTATGACTTGAAAGATTTGTACGTATCAAGTAGCCGCCATTACGTGTGGGGTAGACTGCAGTCTTCCGCAGTTCAAATGCGGTGCTGTCTGCGTAAATTCGTTGGTTTATAATGTTGTAGAAGAGAACGAGGTTGTTTTTTAAGCGTCTCAGCCAAAGTGGATCCAGCTGCAGTCTTCGACAGCGATCATAATAAGTCAGGTTTGAGCAGCGTCCCATGAGCAGTTTGGTAAATGATCGTTGGACATTTTCTAGAGCCGTTCTGTCTTTCTTTCTCAATTGGCTATGAAGGATAGTACAATACTCCAGAGTCGGTCGTACCATTGTCTTGAATGATTCAAGTCGTACTTCAGGTAGGGAGAAAGTTCTGGTGATATATCCGCATAGCTGCCTCGCTTTCGCAACCTGATAAAGAACATGTTCGGAGAAATTGAAAGAGTTGGAGTATCTAATTCCTAAGTCCCGAACTGACTCAGACGTTGGGATCACGTTTCCGGCAAGTATAATGGAGCCTTCTGGGATGCGGCATCTGTAGCCAAGTACTTGGGATTTCACTGCGGAGAACTTCATTAATAAGCGCTCACTAGCTATATTTAGTGCGGATAGGTCTTCACAGATGTTTCTCAAACACATATGTAGTTGGTCCGGATGAAATGAGTAAACCAGTTTGACATCATCTGCAAACAGAAATGGATGTCCATGTTTGATTGGGTCACATATATTGTTTACATAGATTAAGAAAAGTAGCGGTCCGAGCACACTTCCCTGGAAGACACCGCTGGTTATTGGTTTCGGTGTAGAATGTTGCTGACCGATTTTAACGACCTGAGTTCGACCGTTTAGGTATGAGTCGAACCAGTTAAGCAGCGGATTTCCAATTCCATATGACTCTAGAGCAGACGGCAGTGGCTGGTGTGGCACGCGGTCGAACGCCTTTTGCATGTCCAACAGAAATATGATAATTGCCATTCCTCTGTCAATTATAGTCGTGATGTGATCGAGAAATTGTAGCTGGCATGTAACGCAGGAGCGTCTTGAGAGAAAGCCGTGCTGTGAAGGGTTGATCAGATCCAGTCTTGTTAGATATTGGACGATGTTCTTCTTGACTATTCGCTCTAGGGCTTTGGAAGCAGCAGAGGTGTGATTTATTTGGCGGTAGCTTGACATTTGATTTCTCGGTCCACCCTTGTGCTTAGGCATTATAATGGATTGCTTCCATTGAGCTGGAAAGCAACCGGTAGTGAGTGAAAGTGTGAAAATGTTTAGTAACAATAGTGCGAGGTTTTTTTCCTCCTAGTTTTATAACAGTTGGGGAGATGCCATCTGGACCTGGATGAGTTGATGGTTTTATGGCTGCGATGGCACTTTGCACCTCTCTTAAGGTCACAGGGATATTGCAGTATAGTTCGGTCGTTCTTTTTGGAAGTGGAGGATGAATTGGCTGAATGTTGGGAACAAAAGAGGAGGCAAAACTAGAGTTCATGGCCTCGCATATACAGGAGATGTCGCGCGTTATTGAACCATCGTCTAGAGCCAACGTTTCAATTTCCTGTAGTGGTTTAGGGTTCCTACTTTTGAGTAGTTGCATCAATGTACGTACTTTCTCAGGATTTCTGAGTACCCGGCTTTCTTCTTTGATTTTGACCGTTTGGGTTAGACGTTGTAAGTGTAGTAAATTCTCGTGTATTTGTAGCAATGTTGCGAAGCTGTTGTTCCTGCTGTATATCGATTTGAGTTTCTTTAGTTTTACTTTGGCTTTGGACGGAAGCTTCAGTTTACCCCTATGTTCATGGGTATTTCTCCTTACAGTAGGTACTAGTAGATCCACAACAAGGGAAATGTTGTTTATAAACTCATTTGTAGCCACAGTAGGATTGTGGGTTAGGAATGACTTATTCCAATTCATGGTACTGATAAGTTCATTAAATGCGGTCCAGTCCACACGATGGAGGTTACGAATGGGTTTCAACATTTTACTTGGTCGTTTAGGTAAATCAATAGTCATATCACAAAACACCGTGTTGTGATCACAGCCAGGCAGTGGATTATCAATGAATGTATAAACGTTCGCGATTCCCATCGTGAATATAAGGTCTAAGGTAGTAGCACTTCTAGTTGGCTCTCTAACATGCTGAGTCCAGCCATTGAAGTGGATACATGCGATAATTTCCTCAATCTCTGCCGTGTTTCTGAGTGTAGGCAGCGTCCAGTTAACATGTGGTAGGTTGAAATCTCCACACATAATTTTAGACTTGTATGTGGTGCTGGAAGCAACATTGATCATATCGATTAGCTTTTGGGTTGCAAATTGAGTAGTTCGAGGCGGCCGATAGATACAACCCACTAGAAGATCAATAGATGGGATCACTAGCCATAGTGTATCTTCTAAGTCAATGAACACAGGTTGATCTGCGGGAATGGCAGTCAGGTTGTTTCGAAGATATATGGCACAGCCACCACCACGTTTGTGCGTGCGATCCTTGCGGAAAAGCTTATAGCCTAGAATGTTAAGCTGAGAATCACTAATTTCCGACGTGCACCAAGTTTCAGTGATAAAAACAATATCGGGGGATCTCATAAACATAAGTGTTGAAAGTATATCTAATTTAGGCCGTTTATATTTTGACTGTCATACTATAGAGGTGTAGTTAACAATGAGCGGTAGATATTCTCGCTGAAGGTGCCTCATTATTTTCAACGAAAATTCGTTTTGGTTACAATCCTGACCTTCGTATTAACGTTGCAGTGACTCTGTAAGAGTATGTTTCGCGCTTAGAAATGAAAGTGAGTCAGAGCTGTTTGGGGACTGCTCTCATTCATCGTTTGGAAATATTGGGTGGTGTTTAGAACAAATTAAGGAATCATTATTTCAGGGAGGCTTGGAAACAAGAGGTTCGTTTGTTTGTTGAGCGACGTTTTTTTGACACAAAATCCTCGTTCGTCCAGATGAATCAGAATGCAATTTGAACTGCATTTTATAGCATACCCGAGACGACAATCGCGACAGCCGGGACATAAACAGAACTGTTCTTTCAGTCGCACAAGTGATTCAGTCACGGTGTTAATCGTCCAGGTACTCCATTGTGCAGATAAGCCCATAGTTGTGATAATGGGGAATCGAGTTGCACTTTTCTATCTGATCCGCGCAGCGACTGCCGTTAGACTTTCCGTATTAAGATCGCTCGCCACGCACTTGAGAATTCTACCCCATCCGATTTGGTGGTTTTCAACGCCTTCGCAGTCAACCTTTGAAGCGTTGCTTATATATACTTTTATTTATCTCCACGTTATCCAGGTCGATCCGGTGACCGTGTGTAGTACATACACGGCCACGACCGAATGTCCTGATAGTGCCGGATATTCACAATCGTTACTCGGTGGTAGCTCTTCCTGCAAAACTAGCTTTTCTTTTCACATTGGTTCTTTTAACTTTCGCACTTTTTGTCAAATCGGCCAGCAGGCAGCACTTGCTCTCACCCTTCACTCCCTTGTATTGATGTGCGCTGTGTCTTCGAAGCACGCATACAATAAAGAAATCTTCGACTCCTTGGTTCTATATCTGACGACGATTGCTACATTCTCTGCGTCTATGGTGATACTGACTACATGGCTCAAGGTATCTGCGGTGTTGCTATCGCCCTCAACACATGCTGTAGGTAATCTGCTTGACTGGATACCGGTGAATAGCTGTGTGTGTGCAGTTCGACTTCGAGCCACTATTAGAGTTAGTAATCAGCGTCTGGAGTCAAGGTGCTTTTATTTCGCCCGTTTATGCCTCTACGTAATATGGTTCAAAGGGTATCAAAGAAGATGTTTTCTATAGCTCACAACTATACTTCGCATTGCGAAGAATACTGACATCGCGATTTTTGCTAGCGAGATGAATGCCCAAGCGGATCGTCTTTCATACTCTGAATAACACTTGGCAATCCGCTTCGGAGGCGATCAGTTCCTGCGACTGCACTGACTACAACCTTTGCCGTAGCAGCACTGATTTCCAACACAACAAGGTCCGAGTCATCATAATTCTACACGTTAGCTAGTGGAAAACACCTCAGCTATTATGCCACAGAAAGGTACGAGAAAGCCATCCATTAGCAGGACAATAGCTTAGTACGATGGACAGTTGACTCATTCTCAACGTCGTCGACTAGCTCGTTGGGCGGAACATTTTGAAGAGCAGTTAGGCAGACCTACTGCGACATTGCCGCTTGCCGAATCGCGTGAGACCAAATGAGAAGTAGTTGTCACACTTCCTACTTTGGAAATGATTTGACATGTGGTTTCCGTTTTGAAACGAAACAGGGCTCTTTTATCCGACTACCTTCCTCCAGCTTTATCACTTGCGCTGCA